CAGCAGGAGTCCGAATGTTTTGTGTTGGAAAGCTCAGGAAATTCATCCAAAACCAGACTATCATGACAAAGCTGTCTTTCACATGTGAGGAAAGTAGTGAGCCATTTCTCTACTATCTCTAGGTGCTCCTGAGATAGACAGTCTGGTCCTTTGGGTCACTTGGAGAAACCATGTTGACTTCTAGTAGAGTGGCCATCCTTAGGCAAGGTCCTGATCTGCCCTCTACCAGAGGACCGCAACTCTTAAAGTTCATTCTGATGCCTGTGGTCATGACCAACACTTGTATCCATTTCCAGTGATCCCAGGGAGAAGGCTGTTGGTGAAACAGGTCTTGATTCAGGGATGTGTTCCCTCCTGTACTTTTCAATGTAAGGTTTAGCCACTTCCCACACCTGCAAAATGAGAAAGTCAAACAGCAGAGTCAGAAGCAAAACAGAAGGTCAGGTCAGACATCAACGCACAGTTCCAGGATACCCCGTGGAAGAGTTACTGGGGTGCAGGTGAGAATTACAGACCTACGTAGATAAGCTGTGTGCGATCAGCAGAACCCGAGAGGCAGCCAGAGTTAGGGGTAGGGAAGAGCATGTGCATGGAGCTAACAGGGGATGGGAAAAGATGCAGCTCCAGAGGGACAAGGTGAAAGGATTCAAGGTGAAAATGTTGCATCTTCTCTGGTTACCAGGTTAATGCTCTGTGTGCAACAGTTGGGAGAGGATCGCTGTCACTTGATACAAAAAAAATCACTTGGTGACAAAGGGGCCGGGGGAGCAAAATGGCATCTGGCATGGACAAAGAGAAAGGGAAGGCTGGGATTTAAAGCAGAAAAGGAAAATGTTCTACAGCCTCCTTTGCCTCTCCTGCTGTAAGGGCTGCAGGGCAAACAAGCCTTTCACAGATGGACTGGGATTTTCTTCTCCCATTTGCTTATTCTCCATGATTCTTATTGCTTCCAGGGGTCTACCACGCCCAAGGGCCTCAAGGCTGGGGAGCACTCACTGCCCCAGGAGCGAGGAACACCGTCTGGAGAGACGACGGATTTCTCTGGATACCTGCGGGGGTATAGGACCCTGCCCTCAAATGTTTCAAAGCTGGACCTACGTCTGTGAAACTCCTGCCAGAATTAATAATGTAAGCTATTTATTACACAGGAAAACTTTAGGAATCGATTTCTAAATCTATCCCATTAAAATGAAGGAAAACCAAATCTCGGAAAATCTGGTGGGTTCGCCCCAGGCGGAGGAGCACTTTTAGCGAGGCCAGCCCATGAACACAGGGAGGGTATTTCCAGAGCAGAGCTGCGGCGCGCTCCTCGGGGCAGTCCTACAGCATGTGCTGAAAGTCAACACTTACCTTCTGCTCCACGAGCAGCCTGTGAGCTGCTTCAATGTCTGGGGCCATGAAGCGATCCTTCATCCACGGCCTGTAACGAGACACATTGCGAACATTGGCCAAACATTAACCACCAGCGTCTGGGGGAGGTGTTTATCTGATCTTACCTCACAACGGAGCGCACAAGGTCGTAGACCTTCTCCAATGGGGTTGTTGTTCTCAGAGGGCGTAGGAATTCAATGCCCTGGCAGGCTGCGAGCAGCTCGATAGCCAGAACTAGGAAATCAAAACAGCAAAGGGATTTTTGGCAGCCCAAGGCGAGGTTTCCCTTATAAAGCCATCCTTGGTGTTTGTTCCGGCTAACGTGATATGGTTTCAGGTAACGTGAAAAGACCAGTGGATCCACACACCCCAGATAGGCAGCCCAGCGGCAGGGGGGGTTTTTTGGTGGGGGGGGGGGTAGCATCCAGCATTTCAGCAAGCAGATTTTACGCAGTCTGCCATACAGACTTTTCAGTGTGCCAGGAACTCCTAGTTATCACAGTCTTAAGTCGATAAAAATCTCTTCCAGGGCATCTCAAAGACCCAAAGTAATGGGTATCATAAATCAGAAAACTTCTTTTGGACTGAGAAGAAAGGGGCCTGAGCTATGAAAGAAGTTTCTGCCCATGAAGCTTGCAAGAGCCCATGTGAAAAGCACCACTAATATTACAGAGCTTCGGAAGGCGGTCTTCTGTCTGGAGAAGTTTGCACCATATCTGCCCACGTCACACCTGATTATCATTGGCATTAGCTTCTCATTTTCAAGAGCCAATTCACCCAAAGAACTGGGAGAACCAAGTGGATCTAGGACACACCGTTTCCTAACAGGTTGTTGAAACACAGTTTCTCAAACTCATTTCTCTGCACACAAAAAATGTACTTCTATAAAACTAAATCTTCAGAGCACTCAAATGTATAAACTTAAGTGGGCAAGTGAGTTCAGTATTTGTGTGCTGTGTATGACTCTGCTTTTCCACCAACAGCTGACATCTGTATCTAAGCACACCATCTGCCAAGTAAATAAATACAAAGCAAGAGAGCCATCTGTCCTTGTAAGCAAGAGAGGAAAGTTTTGCTGAGTGTCCTCGAGTAAACAGTTTTGTTTCACAAGAAACAGTGCTGGATTTACCTCATCTCTGCTAGAAAGATCCAAATGCTTGCAAAACATGTATTTAATCTAATACTTTTAGATAGCTCTTGCAGATGCATTAACTCTTTTTTCTTAAATTATATCTGAAAAGAATGGCACTAATATCTTAATCTAGTGGCATACATAAGGTCTCTCTGGAAATCAGCATTGTAATTTTACCTTGTTCCACATGTTCAATAACTCTCAAAGCTTTTCTGGCAGCCCATCCTCCCATGGACACGTGATCCTCTGTAGCAGCACTGGTTGAGAGAGAATCCACAGAGGAGGGGTGGCACAAGGCTTTGTTCTCAGAAACTGCAAAAATCCAGCGCAATGAATGTAGGACAGAATGGGCACAAGACAGCAGAAGCAATGGCCAGCCTGTAGCAAAGAGCCTGTCCACCACGTCAGGTCCAACTACTGTTCCTCTTCTGAGGACACATAGATGTTTCACCTGTACTGAGTAATTTGTAATGAACACCTTGAAAACTACCATTGAAAACAGCAACCAATATCAGTCTTCAGATGCAAATATTAACCAAATATAGAAAGACTGCTCGCTCCTCTCCTCCGGGGTTGGGTTGCTCTGGTTCGAAGGCCTGACGGAAACTGAAGAAAAAGAGTGGACAGCATAACTGAAACAGCCTGGTCTTGCCTGTTACTCCAAGGCAACTCTTTGTAAAGAGCATTGGTTCCCTCTGTTTTCGGTCACAGATACCACCCCGCCCTGGTTTCAAGATGAGAGCTACGATCAGCATCTGGTCTCTTCTCATTGGAGCTCAGGCACTTGCAGAACTTGCTCCAGGAAGATGCAGGAGCGGGAACACAAACCCTCTCCCACCCACCTCACCTCACTGTGGGGCTGCCCACACCCCTCCTCCGGGCACGCACAACCCCAGGAGTGGGAGTGCTCCGGCTTTGAAAGCCGGGTGCACGACCTGGAGTAAGTCTTTCAAGCTGCACCCAAAAGCGAGGGGAATTTGGCTGCAGGAGGGGCTGTAGGCACCATCCAGCGACAATGTGAGGTTGAGAATTGCTCTCGAGAAGAGAAGAACCGAAGTCTGCATTCACAGTGCTCTGGCTGCACGCAGACCTTTTCTTTCCGAAGCCCAGCAGGATGCTGCGTAATGCCCTGCCAAATCAGGGGCTTCAGAAAAGCAACAACAACAGAGGGGTGGTGACACCAATTGCAAATAGGCTGGAGTGACACAGTCCAGGGCCGGAGCCCAGCTGGCACCTTCAGGCAGGCAACAGCAGGTCCTAGAGAGGCTACGCGTGGCTACTGCAAACAGTTCGGTCTGGCAGGCACAGCACAACCAGAGAGGAAGGGAGAGATGCATCCAGCGGCGTTGCAAAACATCTGCAAATTTTTTGCAGCTTTATCTGTTGTTAACCCTGGGAGTGAACAACATTAGCTGGTACACAACACCTTAGAAACGATCAGAGAGACTTTAAAAATATTAGTAATATCTTCTTAAAAAAAAGAAGCTACTTTTAGAAAAATTCCTGACTATTTTGGCCAGAGAAAGATGGTTTTAACCCATCGAGTACTGGTGCCAGCGCAGCAACGGGTCAGGAGGCAGGGCTGTCATTTTCATTCCACGCAGCAGAGACCATGAACACCCCAGAATCTCGCGCTCCAGATTACAGAATTGAGCTGCAAAACCTGAAGCCAAGCAACTGCTCAGGCCTGGAGCCATCCTAAACTCTGCCCAGCCCAAAGGAAAAGTTTCCAGCCTTCAAACAACAGGATGAGCACTTCAGCTCCTTTTCCAGCCCCACTTCCCAAAACCGCCTCTCAGCACAGTTCCTTTATTACATTGATTTAGTTCACTGACTTTTTTCCTGCAGGATGTTTATCTACACATTTATCTGACATCCTCTGTTCCTTTGTGCGTTTGCATCTCTTCTAATTTACCCTCTAGTCATAGCATGTTTATCTTTATGGTGTCTCGTGCTTTCCTGAACCCATGAACTGTAATATCTCAGCGGCCAGCAGGGTCCTTGCTGCCTTAGTCATAAGAACTAGAGGAAAAACGTACTAATGCTTATTTTCATTGTGCTCCTCCGATAACCAGCCCTGGGAACTCCAGTCTCCTGAGGACTGTGGAGTCTGATATTGATGTACTGACCTGGCTGTCAAATGGAGACACCGAGTACTAAGGGTATCGGGCCCAGCTTTGAGACAAGTGGTGTCCTGTGAGAAGCTAGTGAGAAGTGAGGAACAGAAGTATCCCCTGCCTACAGACTGTAACTACTCAGGCAGAGGATCCAGCTTCCGCCGAGGCGCTTTTGCAGGGTCTGGGGTACGGAAGTGTCACTGATTTCAACTGGAGCTCTTGTGTTGGTGATTGTAGATCAAAGCACTCCCTGCCAACCCCATGAAGATGCGAGCAGGCAAGCATTCCCACCAAAGTCCACCTAAGGGTTAGCACGCTCAGAGTGCTAAACTTGCCTGTGGATCAGTGCAGAATAAAGAATCCCGAGCTGGAATAATTGCAGCTGCACTCAACACTCAAACTGCTCTCAGACAGCACAAAGCACGTGGGGAAGAGATGGAAAACAGGAGTGAGATCCCTTTGTATCTACTGTCAAATTACAACTGCTGCAATATAAATTGGTCTTTCTAGCTTGCTCTCTTGATGATATTGCTCAAGCACTCACCCAGGGCAGCTGCTGTGCAGTGTGCAATCATGAAGCCAGAGTTCAGACCTCCTTCAGTGACTAAAAATGCAGGCAGTTCGCTGAGCGAGGGATTGCAGAGCCTCTCAATTCTTCTTTCGCTAATTGCAGCGAGTTCATGCACACCAATTGCCAAATAGTCTAAAGCCTGTAAAAGAAGTTCTCATTAAATCATATGACAGAAACAAACAAACAAACCAAACCAGAAACTGGTTTTTTCTTTCTCCAAATGCTTCATTACCTTTGCAGGATATTCACCATGAAAATTTCCTCCAGAAATGGTCTCTGCTCTTTCAGCAAACACCATCTTTAAGGAGAAGTTAAGGCACAAACATGAGCGAAATACAGTTCACATGACATATCTGTCAGTAATCAGAGTATCTTAACTGAAGGAATGTTTGTGCTAAGAAGCTTTCATTTGCAAGCACATTATGTTACATCTGCATGCTCACTTTTCAGAAAATGAAGACCCAATCTCAGCTCTCCTATTTTTTTCAAATAGACTACATAAAATGAGGTTTTTGATCGGGGGTCGGGAGGGGCGCAAAGAAACACACGTTCTGATCCTAGCACAGTTTCTCAGTTCCTTGGTGGATTTTGTCCATGGCAGATAAAATTTTAGATGGGTTACAAGCAGCAATGCTTATCAGCTATGGATGTGATGTTATGTGTGGCACCATTATACTGCTGAGGGGAATCCAGCCTTGCCCAGCGCCAGTGCAAGGGCCATGCAGAGATTACCAGGGTGGGCCACGATGAGGCTTACCAGCCACACGCGCTTTGTCTGCCTGCCCTGCCTGAGGGCAAATCTTGATCTATAGTGCAGGTTTCACTCACGCTGCACCAACAGATGTTTCACGTGACAAGTCAAGTCCCGTCTATCGACATATTCAATATAAGAGTACAGAATCTCGCCTAGGAAACATTTAACATGCGCTAAACTGCACGCGCGCGTGGTTTCCTTGCCCAGACACAATTGCACGCACCAATGCAAACATGGGGAAGGGAAGAGAGGTTGCTGTTGCAACCAATGGTAGTTATTGACTGAACCCAGTTATGGCTTTTTTGCCTCCTATGCAAATAATTATATAGAAGAAAAGCATAAAAAAGGCCAAGCAAAATTTTACATAGAAATAAAGTAACGAAAAAGATACAGGGTTGTCCGTGGCACTATTAATTTCAGTTGTCATGATGTCCTTCACAAAAGCAATTGTATCATTTACAACTCCGTGGACCTAGAACAAAAGAGATTAGCACCTCAGCTTAGTTTCTACACTTAGTTCACGTTCAGGATGCTGATCGAGCTGCAGGCACCCTCTTTCCCATCATCCCAGCTGCTACATCCACACATGAAGATGGTCTTGTATTTGGCTCTTAAAATCAGGACCATCGTTATGGGACACTGCCCATCCTAGATACCAAAAAAAACTGTTTACCATTATTATGACAGTATTGCTAAAAGGGTAATCCAAATATGTCGTTCTTTACTTGTTTGGTTTGGTTTACCCTAAAAGGAAGATAAGATACTAACTCAGTGACAGAAGTATTATTAGGAGAGAAGTAACCTTAAAAAGCCCCCACAGAAAACAAAAATTCTCATTAATTAACTTTCATTAATTCCAATGATTTAATAGCTTTGCTCATGTTAAAACTCACAGGGTTGAGTTCTTCCAGCAAGTTAGAGTACTACAGGTAGATGAACAGCCTATCACTCTGGCTGCTTCTGGAAAGTTCATGGTCTTAGCATCAGTGCAGAACTGATGCCCTACAAAGCCTGCAAGAGCAGAAACCAGCACCTTCCCCCTGCTTCCAACACTTGGCCTCTTTCAGATCTGAACACAGCTTTGTTACATGCTGCCTGATGGGTGCATGGCATCAATGAATGACGTCTCCATTAATACAAGCTTTGAAGTAAAGGAGAAGCAAAATAAAACTGCTTCCTCTAAGGGAATAAGATAGTGCATCATTGACAATATTTCTGATGTGGGAACTTCATCATCATTTATCTAGTGCTATGAAAGGAAATAAAAGTCAGTTTTTACCTGAGGACAGCAGCGCATTGTGTATGCGTCCTGAACTCGGTCACAGAATCTATGGCTCTCTAGAAGGAACAAGGGAAGAAAAACCCAAATATTCCTCACACAAAAGAATATGGGCTGCTGTTGAAAGACCCAGCTGGACCTGTGTAACCTGAAAGGGTGAAGGTTAAGATCATTCACCTGCTATTTCTGATGGATGATGGTCAGAATCTAGAAGGGACCTGAATCGAAATGCCACTTCAGCCTGCCCTCGATGTGGGCGCACTGCGTGGATATCTAGTAAAAAAAGTTAGACTATTAGGTTTTGCTCCTGTTGTCAATGGCTGTTAAGCAAATGGACAGGAAAGGCCCAGTACCCACCAGTGTCAAAGGCCCTTGTTGTACCCTTCAAGACTTCAAGTGTAAGGGCAGCGATTATATCAGCTTGCCTAGCAATAGCACCAGCTCTTTCAACCGCTTCACATCCCAGCGAGGTGATCATTTGCGTCCCATTAATGAGAGCCAGACCCTTCAAAGAGAGAGCAGATGTTAAGCAAATTCATTGCAGCTATTTCACACACTGTGATCATCCCCCATCTCTGCGATAATTCTCCTTCTCAGATAAACGGGTTAAACACCTTTGCTTAGCTTCCTGGATCATCCTGAAATCATAAAATGCACAGCTTGACTGGGCATCTTTGCCACATAAATTGTAGGTCATGACCCTACAAAGTCATTATAGACACTACTAAGTCATTATAGACACTCTTGGAGCGCCAGTAGTTCCAAGCAAGAGGTTTATTTCATGTTATTTCAAGCTTAAGCAAGAGGGGTACAGGAAATCTGTGTTCTTTTCCAGTTCTTCAGAAGTTAAATGCTATTTTTATTCATTTCATCTTAAGTTATTAGTGAAACCAAAGAAGTTTGAGCATGGGGGGGTTTGAAAACCAAGCACAATAAGGAAGTGGAGAATGAAAACAGCATTGGAAATTATAACCGCTTTAAAAGAATTGTTGAGTTCAAACTAGCTTCATCTTTGTTCTAAACAAACTTGAGACCCATGGGAGCCTGCTATTTGCCTTTAGGAGACACTGGAATTCCACTCTTGATAATACTTCATTAATATAATTCTGGAGATTGATTTAAAATAAATGTTAATTTATTTCAGGCTTGAATTGTTAGGTAAAAAAGAAGCTAGTGACTGACTGTGCTTGTTTTTCATCAGCTGGCGTCACTATACTTTATTACCTCTTTTGGTTTCAAGGTAATTGGTCTCAGACCATGGGCTTCCAGGACCTGTGAAGGAGTTTAATGACAAGGTAATTAATGAAAAATGTTTTTTGGTAATGCAACCATCAAACTTTTAAATCTTGAATGTTTCCACAAATAAAAATATTAACAAATTCCTTAAGTGAAGGGAGAAAAACAGCTTTATATCACAAACATTTATAATATTTTTTTCTGTTGGGCTAAATAAAGGACAGCATTTTTGGACTTCCAAGCTAGTACCTCATTTCCCAGTGCAGGTAAAAGAAGGTAACACAGAGCACTGATGTGAGATACTGTCATAGCCCATTAGCATCTACCATGTGTTAGCTGGTGGGAGAGAGTAAAGGGAGAAGGCTGGAAACATCCTGTGAAGGCAGTTCTGCCTACGCCCTGCCTCATAGCAGGTTTGGCTTGGTATAAACTATTCCTTCATAAATGATTCCCTAACCCTTTTTATAAAGAATCTCCAATGACAGGAAGAGTTCTACTCAGTTTATTCTATACGTGTCTATTCCATAGGGTATTCACTCTTGTGGGAAATGGAGGAAAGCTAAAACCTTGATTCTGATTAGAGTCCTCTCAACCTTTCCAACCGAAGAGGTAACACATCTCAGAGGTGTACAACTGTAACTTCTGGTCCCAAAGGTCATCAACACACTGGTATGCTTCTTCCTACTCCTCTCCCTGTGTAGTTCTCAGTAGTTCTCCAGTGATGGTACAGTTATCAATCCATGAATACATCTGGTGTTCAAATATTCATGCATTGGAGTTATAGGTGTAGCAGAACAAACTTCCATGAAAGACTCTAGAAGGGCCAGACTTGGCAATATTCAACACTAAATCAATCTGCTGAAGTGTTAGTGACAGAATAAAAATTAATTAAAAATTGTAAAGCTTCTATCCCATAAAGGAGGATGCTATAAAAGTTTCCTGTAACCCTAGTTAATTTATCAAAAATGAGATATCCAAACCTATGTATTCACTTAAAGCCATTATAAAATCAGTAGAAATTTTACTGATAAGTTCCTGCCTCCAATAAATCTCCAGTTACTCTCAGCATTTGAAGTGTTGAATTCGAGAGGTGATTTTGGGTTTGTTGGAACAGTGTTGATGTATATGGAGCCGAAGATGTAGGAACAGTTCTTTCACAGCTGATATCACATCTTGTCTCTCTCTCCAGGTCCCAACTAACGTCACTGCAGTATCTTGTATTGCAATACTATGATATTTCTTTAGGACTTGACAATGTGCTCCATATTCCTATCTGTTCCAGTGATGTGTGGGTCAGTTATTCCATTATCCTAGTTCCATCTTCCTCAAGGTAGAGGATGAGTTGCTAACGGCAACCTAGTCCCAATTCAAAGTGGTACAAAAAATCCAAAGACTTTTACCTGTTACTAATCTGAGCAAAAGCTCACTTCCTCTCAAAGCCACATGCAATTTGGCAATTGAGTCAGCAAGCAGAAAAAAGCGCAATCAGCTGCGCGAGTCTTACATATTTAGCATCAGCCCAGCCACTCTTTGGGGACCACATCTTTCCCTCTCCAATTAATCCCAGGGCAAGATGAGAGAGGGGGGCCAAGTCTCCGCTGGCTCCAACTGTCCCTTTCTCAGGGATATAAGGAAGGCAGGACACTGGAAAGAAAAAAACAAATGACTCCTGTTAGAGCTTGCCCTTGATATACTTCTCGGAAAATGAAGAAGCCAGCACAAGTGTGGTCACAGTAACCCCCACCCGGCAATCACAGTTAATGGCACCAACAGGACTACTCTCATTGCAGCCTGGGATTCGCCCCTGCTCGCAGGCTAGCTGCAGTTTATAAAGAAATCAATTCCCTTCTGCATTTAGTTTTGGAGTGGGGGGACCACAGCCCAGAGTGATTGCATCTACAGTCACAGCCAGGTGGGTAGCACATCACTCGCCTCATCTCCATTCCAAGGTGACCACCTGCTGTGGACAAATCTACCTCTTCAGTTCTCACTCCATTAAACACTGGGTAACTCCTACAAAACATCTCTGAGCCCTCTGAGCACTGAACATGTGGAAATGAAGAAATGGAGCCCAGGGAACTGTGGAAAAAACAGGAAAGGGACCAGTTTTTCTTTTCTTTTGCAGAGTTTAACACTGCTTTGCAGCTCCTTCACCGACTGTGCGGAGAGAAAGCAGAGGGTGCAACGGAGAGCAGCACCGCACAGAGAGAGAAGGTGCTTTTCACTCACCAGAGCCACACTGACATGCCTCATCAGAGGGACCATTAACAGACACCAGCTAACAAACAGCACAGCCACCCCTGTGGTTTCCCTGCCGCAGTGTCCGGCAAGGCCACCCAGCTTTTACAGCTTTGACAGCCGTGGCCACGTGAGCTGCTGACCAGCCATGTGCTTCTGCGCAGCTGCCTTGTAACCCTTGCTCATGAACACTTGTGTAGGTCTCAGGAGGTCTGCTCACAAAAATAGGTGCTGCTCAGGCAGGTCTGCCTGACAAACATCAACACGTGCAGTTTTTTAATGTGGTAATAGCCCCACCCAAAAATCCTGGCCCATAAGATGCACATGCAACAGGACAAAAGTCAGAGACTTGAGCCTTTGTAGAAGAGCTCGCCCAGAGTCCGTCACGCTCTCAGTTAAGCTTAGTCTCAAACTAATTACTTGACCTCTCAGAAGCTCATTTCCCAAACTTCTACCTCTTGCATCCCTTTCTCTCAGCCTTTCCTGTCAATTCTGCTCACACCCCACGTTCTTCAACAGAGGAACGATCTCTAGCCATGATCTTCTACAGGACTGGTCGCAGCCAAGCTTTGGTCCTGATCTCTCACAACCACCAAGTCCAAAGCTCCATCCACTGAGCTACATGCTTTGACAAAACAGTTAAGGGAAAAAAAAAAAAAGGGAAAAGGGGATTTTCTTTAAACATCTTTTTACCATTAAATGCTTCAATAACTTGCTGGAGCGTTTCTAGGGATATTCCACTGTATCCTTTTGCTAGGACATTGATCCTCAGCGCCAACAGCATGCGAGATCTCTCTGGGCTCAAAGGTTTCCCCACACCTGAAACAGTAACCCTCTCGGTTACTAACCTGCTACCAACAGCAACAGGAAAGGGAAAACACAAAGCAATTTCTTGTTACCTGCAGAATGCGAACGAACCAAGTTCACTTGAAGCTCTCTATGGGGGAAAAAAAAAATGTATGTAAAAACCCAAATAAGTCTTGACAGGTTTAATTTTGCACAAATCAAAGGGAAATACTGAAGCAGCCCTCTCATCCAACCACAGAGTATAAATGTACAGCGTCGAACTGCTCCCTCCTCTTCCTTTCCTGAAAAGCAGGGATGGAGAAAGCCGCAGGCACAACTTGCCTCAGCTTACTGTTCGGGATGACAGTCCTGGCAAACTTTCCAAAGCCGGTGGTGATTCCATAAACAACTGCAAAAAATGTACACTGCTGGTTAAGGAGGGAACTCGAGATCAGGTTTTCTTAACAATTAATAGCTAGGGAAAAATATTTACCTGTTTGTTCCTTTACAATCCGTTCAATCACTTCTCGTGATTGTTTGACTTTAGCTTCAGCTTCAGGTGTGAGCTACAACATAGTTTAAATTGAAGTTTATCTATCATTACTGAAGTTTAATTGTAGAAAGCTAAAGATGTAACTTTTAGCTGTGTTTGTTCAGGATCTTTACCTTTATCTTGTAGAGCCCCTTTCCTAAATTGACCAAGTCCTCCGTTGTTAAGCTGTTGCCATCTAAGGAAATATACTACGCCAAAGAACCACCTTTTAGTTTCGGATACATATATGTACAAGATATCTTAGTTATCAGAATGTTTTAAAAAAAACCCCAAACAGTCAAAACTCAGCAATGATAGGAAGCTCCCTCCCACTGATTCATAAGACAGAACTCATGAACAGAAACATAACAAGCACTTTACGATTCAGATTCCCAGACCCAGCCAATCTAACAGCCCCTGCTCTCATGAGCGCTGCAGTGGCTCAACTCTCCGCATGTTCTGGCGAACAGCGGGATTTGTTACCGAGTCGTAAAACCGCTGGCGATTCCTACCTGTTCCGGTTCTCGGTATTTGCTGTATCTGAAAGGTCTGTAAAGGAAAATAAAAGGCAGACAGGATTTCACAGGGAGCAATCATTCGACTACAGCTGGCAATGTGTTTTAAAAATGAAGAAACACTAAAAGAACAGGGAAATCTCAGAAATTATAAATCTGGTATTATAAAAAGTTCACAAAATGCCCAAAAAAGGATACAAATGAACTCCTTCTGGCTGAGATGGTATGAAATCTGGAGACATTATATCTCCTTCTACAACTAGAAGGAATATGCAAATAAACATGAACAGGATTGTTTTCTATATGTAAATGAATTTTTTATTCATTGCAATATACACAAGTTCTAATTTGCAGTTATCAGCCCCAAATACATTTGTACATTTCTAGGAAAATAACAAGGGACTATGTAGTTTATTTAAGGTATTCTAAAGGCAAGAGAGGCGCCCAACCCTTGGACACATGCTCCTCATCCCATACAATCATATAGCACGTATGATATCATATACAAATGATGTATATAGAATCCTGTAGCTTCTATATCTTATACAGTTCTACACTTAAAAACTAAGGGTGCATTTGAGTATTTTTCCATAGAAATCACTCAGACGCAATTTTAGATAAACTGAGTAACAGTTTGCTGACTCAGATGCCACTGCAGTCACTCTGTGAGGCGTTGCTTAAGGTTCTGCTTACCAACTTCAACAAATTCATTGTCCTCTAGAGCATCCTCCACTGTATCGTCAAGATCCAGCAAGCCAAGTCCCTTGCACCTCCGAATGTAAAATTTCACTTCTTCCACCGAGGCGAATCCCCCGTTGTCGGGTTTGTTTTTCATGTACCGTCTGACGGCTTCCCTTCCCAGCCACCCGATCGTGTTCGTACAGTTCAGGCACGGCACTGCCAGCCATTCTCCTCGGACGTGCACTGTGTATCTCGGCATGCTTTCTCCCCAAAGCTGTCCCTTGGCCAAGGAGGGCTGCAGCGTGCAGTGGCCTCACATTTGCCACGTGATGGCCTGAGGAGCAGTGTCTAGCTGGAGTTCAGTGTTGCAATCGGATAGAGGCAAAAATCCACCCTCAAAATCCCCACCTTTGTAAATATGCAAGACCGATGAGCTCAGCTGACTTCATCCAATCAAACCAAACCCAGGGAGCACACCCTTTTCACAGAAAGGTAAAAAAAAAGCAAACAACCCTATCACCACAGGAATTTTTTTTCCAGAGATCACGTCAGGAACACAGAAGCGAAAATCTAGGAACTGGAGTTTATGTAGCAAGAATAGATAAATAAATCAGAATAAGCTGGAATGCAACTGTTCTAAAAAATGAAGGGTTTAACAAGAAGAGTTAACAGAGATGTCACCTGGCAGTAGCTCACATGAATGGAAAAATCTGCTGGGGATGGTGCTGGAAGAGCGTCAGGCCAAAAACCGTTCCAGTTTGTGCACGGCTGCGGGGATTGGAAGGAGACCTGATTATACCCGTACATCTCTGCCTGGCCCCAGAGGAGAGCCGGCAGTGTCAGCAGTAAGCCTCCTCTGCTCAGTTCCACGCTGAAGCTAGAGAACATAATTTTGTATCACAGGGGAGGAGAAGATCAATGAGTTTCCCTCCGTTACCCTTTCACTGAGGCTCTGGAAGATGTTGCTAGAACAGGTAGCAACAAATACTAGGCCACAGCTGCATGCTACCCAGCCTGGTGCTGCTACACCATGGTGCTCCTGCAGGTGGGTGCCAAGAGGAACAGATGTGGAGAAACACCTGTTAAGATGGTGTGGAAATAATGTTTGTCAACATGGTCATTGTGATAGAAGCTGAAAATACCTTTGTCTTTAAAGACAAAACAATGCTCCTGGTCCAAGCTACCCACAACAGTGTTCCCAGACACAGGCACTACTATAAAGTGTGTTTACCCGGGATGAATTATTACAGGGAATTTTAACTTGGGACCTATCAGTGGAAGTCTCTGCGTCGGAGACACTGCCCCAGCACAGCAGGACAACGCTAGCAAAAACCATGCCTGCCACCACATTTTTTTCCCTAGCTCTAATAGCAAGAAATCATGATTAGCTGGCAGCGTGAACTCCAACTGCCAAACCACAATATAGGATATATGGGCTTTTACAACAAAATGTTACCCCAAAATGAGTAACATAGAACATTTCTAAAAGAAAGAACAGGAGTTTTCATTGCAATCTGGTAGCTTGAACCAGAATCTGTTACCACCAGGTACCCCCTCTTCCTCCTACCAGAGCCGTGCCCGAGAGAACCCCTCTTCATTCAGGTGATGCTGCAGCAGAAGCCTCATTAGATTTCGGGAGTGAACAAAATGAACTGCTTAAATTTCTGATCTGAAACAGAAACACTCAGTGAGTTTTCCAGCAGAAGTTAACACTCATTCAGAGGAGCAGCAAGAAGAGAATGAATGGCTCATTAGGTCCTTGACACAAGAAAGCCTGTAAGTTCTCTACACACAAGGACATTACACTATCTTGGTTCCAAAAAAAGCCAGTATTTTATTGTTATTAAAAGCTGAGTGGCACAACATTCACAGAAATAATATAAACTGATTTTTGAGCCTCAATCACCTAGGAGTTAATTTTTCTTTTTTTTTTTAAACTACTTATGCATATGCAGGTTAAAGTTGAATGGAGGAACTCAGGGTGCCTTAAACCTGTAAAATATAACAAGACCTGTTCATGCCTTAATTTATATTAGAGCTGCCAGCAGGAAAAGATGAATCTCCCAGCAAAGTAAGTAACATCATTTACTTGAAAGCTTATACTGATCAAAATTCAGATCAGAAACAAACTGATCAGACTCTCCCCTTCCACTCTACGTGCTATTATTAAATCCAAATCTTTTGCAATGACCTACATTCGGTATCTTCCTCCTTTAAAATAGCACGCTTTTTGGTTTTGGTTTGGTTTTTGTTACTCCGATATGGGGTTAGCTCTATGTCAACAAATTTACGCTATCTGATCATTTCCAGGAAAAGCAGTTCTCAAACTCACTTCAAAAGTCCACCTGTAGAAGGCAGCATTCACACCTACGTCACCGAAACCAGACTAGACCCGAATGAAGCGCAGCAGCAACTACACGGAACAGCCCTCCGGCTGTTCTTTACCTTATCCCGAAGTTGTTACATCAGCCTAAGTGGTAGTGCCCAGAACTGGTTAAAGAATGCAAATATTCAAGAATTCATATCGGGGAAGGAAAGACTTGGGCTTTAGTACCCCCTGCAATAATTAGAAGTTTTGAAAATATACCGTGGGTTAAAATAATTGAAGTAAATTACTAAAAGTATAGCAAGATATTAAATCTGACATTTAGTAAAAATCCCAGGTTTGCTAAAAAAAGAAAACAAGGAAGTATTTCAGACAACTCTATGCAGATAACTATCAGTGCACAGCATAGGATCCAATAGGAATAACTAAGTAAAACCATCATATTGTGATTAACATGAAGAATTAACTGATGTAACAATACCACGACAAACAGCCCAAGATGGAAATTCTGCTCTAACAAAAGAATGCTGGGATCCATTTCGGTCTTTGTAGTCCTCCCACACCCACAATAAACATTTCTCCCACAACAAAGAAGAGTAAATAGAACTATTATTTCAAAGCTTTCCATACAGATCATACACAGACAAGCAGACAATGACAAAGACAAAATTTTATTTTTCAGTCTTCAGATACTTGAAGTTCCAACCACGTTGCTATGAAGAGGAAAGCTGTGCACAGAGCCATACTATCCACCAATTAATATTCCATGTTTTTAAATTCCATGACTGAAAAATGACTACATCTCAGAACAATTTTTCATGTGTTCTAAAAATTGCTTGTAAAAAAAAACATTCTCCCAATTCCAATGATTTAGCAATTTTGCTGTTTTACTTGGAAGTGCAAAATAGAAAGTACTGAACTTGATCTGGAAAGTTCATTTTAAACTAAATTAGCACCAAAGCAGGAGAGCATCTTATGGCATAATCAAGCACATATATCAGCAGTTTGTGGAAGCAGTCTCTCCACAACAAGGAAATTTCAAAGCCATCAGTAACTTCGTCACTGATCCAGGTTCAAGTCTTTGCCCACAAGCATTGAAGTGACTGGGTGCATAGAGGCTCTATGCTCCAGAAATGTTTTGACAGTCAGATCTCGACACTTCTCAAAACTGTAAAGATCCCTGGAGAAGGAAAGAAACAGACAAACAAACAAAGCACCATTACAAAAATCTATGAAAATAGTACAACTGGGATTTTCTCAAGGTTTTACTTTTCTCTTGAAAGCCTCACATTAAGGTGCGTACTAGGAGATTAAGCTTTCCTCTATCAAAAAAAGTCAGCAAGTGGAAAGTAACTCTGAAGATAAGCTTGCTCACAGTATACAGAAAATTCTGTATTATATCACTTTGAAGCATAACATAAATACATATACAATTGTCAAGTATTATATATTCCGTTATACTAAAAATGCCGAACACATGAGGTCCTACAACTTGGAGATTACTTTTACCTGAACAAGGGTCGAGTAAACTTCATCCTGCCCTGATCTGTTGCCATTTTTAGAGCCAGAGGAATAGCTTCTTCCCACCTGGACTTGATGCAGAGACGCAGCCACCTAGGAAAAAAAAAATTTACACTTTTATTTACATTTGTGGTGGTTAGTTACCTTATGATTCTATTCCCATAAACACTCTGGGCAGTGCTGTGTCATCATGGGAATGAGACCCTAGCTAAGTTCAACATAAAATATTCAGTGTCTGACTAGAACATTACAAAACCAGACTTTTCCATAAAATAGGAAAAATGTTTTTCAAAGTTTCTCCACAATGGTCTGATTATTTTCTGCAGCTTTGTATTTCTTTTATATTACAGTAGTGTCCAGTCGCATCATGTAGACTTAGAGCTGATTATATAGCACTTGTCACATTTCACCAAGTGATTAAAAAAACCCCAACAAAAAACTCAAACAAAACATCATCAGCAACAGGCACGCACTTGTTTTAAAAATAAGAAGAAACTGATCTTGTTATAAGAAGTAGGAACTATGTTGCATGTTTAAAACATTTAGTTTTGTTAATAAGAAACAAAAGAACTGTAAGTTAGTTAAGGCAGAATAACCATCACTATTGCAAATGTACCCAAGTACATAACAGTAGCAAAATATGCAATACTTCAAGGTATTTGTAAAGATTACTTGTGTCTTCAACACCACCTTTTTCTAACAAGTGACATGTGCAAACACAAAACAGAAGAAATTAAGATGGCAGTAGAATCAAGCCATTTAGCTAGAAAGCATTTCCTACTTGTTTAGAAACTTCCTTTGATATTTACTGCTTTTTTGACGAGACAAAAGCTTTGTGACAGCGAGCATTAAAGTGTGACAAAAAAGTTTCCAAGTTGTGTTGAAGAAAACACTGGCACATCAGCAGAAGCTGATTAACTAAGTCCAGAAGACCTGATCCTGACTAAATCTTTTGAAAGACTTTTTCAAGTATGTTTGAGTCACAGAAAGGCTCGCTATTTTATTATACAGTACCACCCCAAAATAAAAGTTATCAGGTCATCGCGTTCCTTTGCTAACATGACAGATGAAAATAAGGGACAGCTAATCCACTGATCACTTCTAGTTCTTCTACTAGACTATATTTATCCAATTCATAAATAACAGACTATCAACTCTGGTAAGTATGCTTGCTCACACACTTACAAAAAAATTCCACAACAGCAACAACAAAAACACCCCTGAAACTGTGCACCAGTTCTAAACAACAGTATGTCTCAGACCACTTAGGAAACAAGACTGTTTGCTTTATGAAAGCATTTAAGACTAGAAAAACACCCATACTAGAACAAACCTGAATCTTATTTCAGAATTGTTTATAGCATTGAAGTCATACACTTGCTGCATACGTTGGACATGTGACACTGGAAGAGGAGCCTGAAAAAGGAAA